GAGGGATCTGGGAGAGAAGAATATGTGGTTAGGGACTACAGGATAAATAGGGTTGACAGCAGCATTGATTTTCTGAGTCTTGGACTAATCTAAAAGAGCCATTGGATTTCTTTATAGGAAGAATAGGAGTGTTGTAAGCATTGTTAACAGGGATTAGGAGATGAGAGGTCTTTAGTTAGTCTATAATTGGTTTTAGTCCCATGTGTCCCTCACTACAGAGGGGATATTGTGGAACAACAACGGGGCTGGAGGGGTCCTTTAGAGTGATTTTAACAGGGGTGTGGTGTGAGGCTACAGAGGGATGGGATGTGTCCCAAACCTGAGATTGACTTCCTATAGGAGGTAGGGAGAGGTTTTGGGTGGTGGAAGATCTTGTATAGGGAGAATAAATTGTATGGGCTGACAGGGCTTAATGGACGGGATGAAAATGGTGGCCCCAAGTATATGGAGTATGTCTCTTCCTAGTATTGGGAGAGGCAGGCCAGAATGACTAGGAAAGACTAAAGGATTTAAATTTGAAGATGCAGTGGGTGGGGGGATCATGTCGGGCATGTGTGGTATATCATTTACCCCTACAATAGGGAAGGTGGCCTTTTTGAAGGGACTGCATATTCAATTAAAACTGATCTGGATGCCCCAGTATTGAGGAAGAAGGAAATGTGCTTTCCCGATACCATCCCAGTTACCCATGAATCAGCAGACCCATCAGCAACAGGGGCACTATGATCTGGGCCTTGTCAGTCACCCAGTGGAAACATTGGTATTGGATTCTTGGCTGGGACACTATTGGGAATCTGAGGCCACACACGAGGGAAAGACTTTTCCCTATGGATAGTCCATCTTCCAGTGTCCCCACTGTCCACATTGTGGGCAGGGCCTTGTCAGTGGGTATGGGTTAGGGCAAGATTTTGCCCAATGTTCTGGGTTTCTGCATTGGAAGCAAGTTTGGGGGACTGCTTGCTCTGTCCTTTAGGTAGGTCCTTTGGGCCAGTACGGGGCATCTGGTTTTGGAGAATAGAGGCCAGCATTTGACATTTTGTGTGGGTATTTTTATCCCTTAATTGTTTGACCTCCTCCTCCCTATCATTAAAGACCTTAAAAGCTGTATTAACTAAGGTTTGTTGAGGGATCTGGGGGCCTTCTTCATCTTTCTGTAGCTTTTTTCAGATATACAGAGCTGAATGGCTGATGAAGTGGAGGTGTTTGGGAGGCTGGGTTTAAGTTGGTGTATTTGGTCATTGCCTCTCTAAGGCAACTGAGAAAGAGGGTGGAGTTTTCACCTGGATCCTGTGTGACCCGTAATTTTGTCATAGTTGACTTGTGTATGATTATTTTTATTCATGCCTGCTAATAGGCAGGAGATCGTGTGATCCCGGGACTTTGATCCTGGGTCCCATCTTGATAGCTCCACTGAGGCTCAGTTCTAAGAATTGCCTTGGTGGCAGGAGAAGTGTCTTTTGGGGTGTTGTTCGTGGAGTTGGTCACGTGTTGTTCCTCTGCCTTCCATGTTCTCTCCTTTTGGTCCTCCGTGATGGTGCCATTTATAATGTTGTAAATCTCACCCCTTGTAAGGGCATGGGCCCAAGTAAGATGGAGGAATTTCTTACAATACTTTATTAGATTATCTGAAAAGGAGCCCAGCCTTTGTTCGATTTGGGAAATATCTATCATAGAAAAAGGGACATGGACTCATACTGTCCCTTCCACTCCTGCCACCTCTTGTAGGGGAAGAACCGGAATCAGGTGGGGATGGGTAGATGCAGACAGCTGTTAGTGTGGGTATGTGTGTCCATGACTGGGTGTGGGGAGGGGACAAAGGGAGAGAAGAAGCTGGGCCCAGGAAGGGGTTTTCTGGGGAGAGGGAGAAGGGACCTTCCTGGGAAGAGGGGGAGTCTGGAGAAGTTTGGCTTGGGGGAGAGGGTGACCACTGGGAAAGGAGGTTCATTGGTGGGGTCTGAGTTGAAGGCTGATGGAAGGGGGTTATGTGCAATGGAGAGGGGTGGGAGTCAAGAAGAATTTGGAGGGGGCTGCAGTTTGAACAAAGGAGGGTCAGACTCTAAGATAAAAGGAAGCCTGGAGATAAGGAGCCTCTTGCCATTTGCCGTTTCTCATGATAAAGTTGTCAAGGAGAATTGATAAAGTTGTTGGAGAATATTGGGATCAAAAGTTCCAAATTTGGGCCATTTTGAGGAGTTATCTAATCTGTATTGTGGCCAAATTTCTGTAGAAAACCAGATGAGGTTTTTTGGTTTTAGATTTTCCTTTATGCCCAGTTTGGTAAGGTTATGTAGAAGGCACCCAAGGGGTGAGGTGAGTCAGAGGAAATTTTTGAGTGGGTACTACCCATGGCCAAGGTTATGAAGTTTTTCCTAGGGCATCCCCCAGAAAAACTTGCAAAACTGGAAAATGAACCTGGAGCAGTAGGTAGATGTCTCTAACTTACATAGCCAGGGGCCAGACACACAGGCCAAATGGCCAGAAGGTGATAAGGAGAGGGAGAAGTAAGAATACCAAAAGCGAGAATGGCCAGAGATTGGCACACCGAGGTGCCACGGAGTGCCGGATGGAGAGGCCAGGTTTTACCCATCCCTGTAGAAATCCGGTGTTGCGTGTGCGAAGTGGAATCAACAAAAGGCCCTGCAGGAGTCACAGAGGAATGGGAAATTAGGGGTGTATGTATGGCCGGAAGATTAGGCCCCAGAGTGATGCCATTAGATAGAAATTATAGATAGGCTATTAGAAAATGCCTACTAACAATGTTTTTTTGGGCTTAAGTCCAATCAGAAGGGGTGGTTATGCCTAAGCCACACCAAAACAATTGTTAGTATAATGGGGAGGCTTAGCAGGAAGTATATCTTCAGAGTCATGAAGAGAATAATAAGAAGAGAAAGAAAAAGGGAGTGTGAGGTTTGGAGAGAGGTCTGGTGGTTTGGGGATGAAGGCACACACTCCGTGTCCCTCACGGTGTCTGTATTAAGCCCAGACCAGAGACCCCATGGGGGTGCACCATAGACTATATGAGGATCACCACGGAGTCATGAGTCACGGTAGCCCAAGAAGGGTGGTCCCGTCCCCCCCCCCCCCCCCCCCCCGTCCTCCCTTGAAACTCTCTCCCTGGTTTCAGCACCCAATGAAAGGAAAATGAGGGAAAAGCACTGAGGCACTTAAGGAAAAGGAGGAGAGACACACTGAGAAAGAATCTGTGACCTTCACAAGCAGCAGGCCTTTATTGAGGGAGAGAGGCTAAGATGGGCCCTCAGCCAACAGGTAGTACTCTGAGAGGGACAAGTGCATGCCTTTCTTACAGGTTGGGGTTTTTAAGCACTCTGTGGTGGGAAAAGGGAGGTTGAAGGGGGATGGGCATTAGGCAGGGTGGCTGGGGAGGAGGATTGGGGGAGGTGTTAGACATTTGGTGGGAGGATCATCTGGGCTCAGCAGCCTGGCTGTTGTTTTTCTTTTATTATCTGAGGTAGCCATACTCATATTCTTTCAGTGTTTCTCGACATGCCAGCACTATGCATATAATAGAAGTTAAAGAAGTGTTTTACTTTAGTTCAATGCTTTACTATCTGTGTAGGGAAAATAAACTTTATTATAGTCCAGAAAATATTTCTTTGATTTTAGCTTTCATTAAAGAATTTCTCAAAGTATAGTCAAAGAAATTCAGAAACTCAGTTGTTTTCTGGGAAAAAAGGTACAAGACCAGGTAAATTTGAGAAATTGTGCAAATACACCTTAATCATTCCTTCAGCAAGTATACAATAAGCAAGTATTCTGTGTCAGAAACTATTCTGAGTTCTGAAATGTAATTGAATAAATCATGCCAAAATCTTTGTCCTCAAGGAATTTATGTCCTCAATACTATCAGAAAGTATACCGTGAAAAGAAAACTTGAAAATTTCCCATGTAACTCAATGTCTTTCATCTTATTTGACTGACTTTGGAACTCTTTTTTTTATGAACAACCCATGTTAAATTGTTCAAAGGAATATTATTTTGGAAACACAATTTCTTTCTATCTTTCTAAATGGAGGATTAATTCTAATTTTTTTTTTCTTGGTACTGGTATTTGAACTTAGGGCCTTGAGCTTGCTAGGAAAACACTGTACCACTTGAGCTACACATCCAGTCCAAATTCTTGACTTTAAGCAATTTTTCTCTCTTTTTTGTTGTTGCTGTTGTTTGTTTGTTTAGGACCTGATCTAACCATGTAGCCCATGCTGGGCTCAAAGTTTTGATCTTCCTGAGTGCTGGGATTATAGCCAAATGCCACCACACCCATTTCTCAATTTTTGTCTCTGAAAAAAGGGTTGTTTTTTTTTAAACTTTGTTAGATAATGTTTAAAATGTTATTTTTCTTGTGTGTATGTAAAATAAAATGTATATTCACATTTCTTTGGTTATCTGAAGTGTTTATGTGTATTATACAGGTAGACAAATACATATGTATATGGATAATATATATAAGATTTATGTAGATACATTACAAATATAAGATTTTGCTTTTTGCCTTATACATTCTTCAGTACCACTTTCTTGGTTGAGCCTTCCTTGACCTCTCATAGAAGGATTAGTCTCTCATTTATTTGTGTCCTAGTAGCAAAATGTGTATAATTCTATTTATTATACTTACAGCATTATATCGTAACTAGTTATTTCCTATTTTTCCAACACATATTAAATTCTTCAAGGACCCAGAAGAACTATTTCTTATTCATCTCTGTATTGCTATAATCACAAAACCTGGCATATAGTATGTATTCAATAAATATGTTTGTTGAACTGAGTTCAGTAAAGAACAGGAAAATTAATTTTCAAATTTATGATTTATATATTCTTAATTTAGGTCAAGTTTTATAAGTCTAATCATAGGGGCTGAGGCTGTAGCTCAGTGGTAGAGGTCGTGCTTCCTGCGTGAGGCCCTGGGTTCAACCCCAGCACCAAAACCAAAAAAAAAAAAAGTCTAATTACACTAAAGTCATTTTACATTTTCCCTGTAGGTTACATTGTATAGCATGTATGTTTCTATAATGGCCTTCAATGCAAAGGTTAGTGATCCACTTATTGGAGGAACATACATGACCCTTTTAAATACGGTGTCTAATCTGGGAGGAAATTGGCCTTCTACAGTAGCCCTTTGGCTGGTGGATCCCCTCACTGTGAAAGAGTGCGTAGGAGCTTCAAACCAGAATTGTCGAACACCTGATGCTATTGAGGTAAGTATGTTTTACTTTTAGAAAACATGAAGCTAATATTAAGATATTAATTTCCTTGTTTACCTCTAGAAGTACTCTTAAAAAATCATATCTACCTGTAGATCCTAGTGTAGAAATTTACATGTTTTCTCCCATTGTAACTGAGGGTTTATAACATACTCATGTCAGTAAGAGTAGCTTACTTAATGGAGCTTCTTAACAAAGCAGGAGGAATCTTCTTTCTCCCTACTCTAAAGATCACTGTCCTGTACAGTAGGGACTGAATTTATGCATAAGTAATAAATTTTACAGTGCTAGGAAAGGAAAAATTCCATTGCCTATTCACATGCCAGTTGTAGCTAAAACTGAATGGTGTTTTGTTGATTATTTCAAAATAACATTAGTCTACTTCATTGGTAGGTGATGTGGAAATTTCTTCACATCTCCAAACATGAAAAATTGCACTTTGGAAATGAGTATTGTTTGCAGCAAGACAACAAATTTATTTTTTAATCTTACTATGCCACTGGAGAGATTAAGATACATTAATATATTTTACCATAAAAGTGAGTGAAGTATTGAAATGTTTTAACAAAAGCATGTGTTAATCTGTTAACTTGTAAAGCAGAATAATTAATTGTTGAATATTTACATTTTGAAGTTACAAAATATTCATTATAATTTTATTTTTATAGCTTTGCAAAAAACTCGGTGGCTCCTGTGTCACAGCACTGGATGGTTATTACGTGGAATCCATTATTTGTGTTTTTATTGGATTTGGTTGGTGGTTCTTTCTTGGTCCAAAATTTAAAAAGTTACAGGATGAAGAACCGTCTTCATGGAAGTGCAAAAGGAGCAATTAATGCACACTCTGTTGAACATTCTAGAAGGTAACTGTGGCTTAGTTTTATTCAGAGAGCTATGATAATCATTGCACAAGAGTATAAAATATTATTTAAAGAAGGAAATTATTAATATAAAATGCCAAATGGTTGAAAATTAGAGACTTCTGTGTATGTTTGATTATATTTTTGCCTTGTCAATGTATTTAAAGTTTACTTAAGGTCAGGAAATTGACACCGAAACAACTTTCTGGCCTTGTTATTTGATTTCTATCTTTTTAATTTACTGACCAAAGCTTACTTTAAGCTGCAAGGCTTAAAGTAATGGATAGTAACCATGCAGTCAAGTATTGTTATTAGTACCTGTCATTGAGCTATATTTAAAATTTTGGAAAAGTATATTAAGTGGAAGAGAGCTTGATACTCAGGTACTAAATATAATTAGTCTGACCTTGTTGGCAGGTAAAAATCTTATTTTGAATTGTTAATCAGTTAAATTGTATGTGGAATTTGCTGAAAAGAGAATGTAAACTACTGAAGCATCATTTAGTTGTTTTCTGACCATAACTACATTGTCCAACTGGATGTGTGTTTAAAAAACAAAGACTATTTTAAATGTAATTCCTGCTTTTGTAAGCATTAAAGATTTGTAAGATTATTCAAACTATTTTTTATAAAGTGAAAGCTATGATTTTTAACTTATTGGTTTTCCACATCCCTGCCTTTTTTTTTTTTTAAAGGTATTTTGATTGCTTGTTAACTTTTACCCTAAAGTTGCATATGTTTTTTTGTCACAAGTGCCTCATGGCACATGGACAGCTAATGAGGGGATCAAATTTAGTGTTGTATATATGTTCATGGCAAAGTTTTGAAAATAAAAATTAAATGTTTTTCTTCAAGTAGTTTTTTTAATTACCGAGAAAAAACTTTCCATTTAAATAAAATTCAAATAAATAATTCCATAATTTTTTAACTAATATTTTAGAGAGAGAGGCAGACATTTTGTGCTTTTGACAAATCAAATTGTGTGGTGGAAGAATAGTGTTTCTTAACTAAGCACTTTACTAATGGGAAGATTTCATAATTGCTCTATGCCAAATCAGATACAATATGTCCATTTATTAAAACACAATGTTCTGTTTTTTATATAAGCTAGTTTTCAGTGGAGAATTGCTATTCAGGAGAATAAGCTTTTGAGTACATTAACAATTTTCAACATAGTATGTATACCCAGTGATAAAGTTCTCTGTGTATTTTGTTAGGTATTATCCTCTCTTTAAAAATTACATAAATTCTTCAAAAGTTAAAGGAAAAGAGATTAAGTTTTGAACCTTAATAATTTTGTCTTTGTGTGAAAATACATACTAACTCCAGATTTTGTTAATTTTATAACATAGGTTGACTTTTAGAACGGGGTTTTTATAAGTAATGAAGGATAAACTGGGTGGGAGAGAGTGGCATGGCAGCATCTGAAGAAAGATAGGGGCAGTGGCCTCTAGAATTCATGCATTGCTGTTGGAAAGCCTGAGTTGGGCATCGAAGTCAGATCCTAAAGAATCACCTGGAAAAATACTCATCCTAGAGGCCAGGAGGCTACACCAAACCAATGACTACCATGCTTTGTCACATGGTTGCTCATTACCATGTATTACACTGAAACAATTACTTGAATAAAAAAACCTCTGGTCTCTCACATGTGAATTGTATTTGGATTTTTAATTTTTGAATAGGACACTCACGTTGTGATGATAACCATTTATTTCTTCACATTCATATTCAAATTATACACTTTTAAACATAGTTTTAATTCTGTACCTCTTTAATGACTTGAAGTTTGAAAGCATATTTTTAAGAGATAAACAGGATACTGTTTTGAACCACAGGCTTTTGGGTGAGTGCTTGTACTGCACTTGTTAATAATGACTTGTTAACAGTTGGGTGCGACTGTGCTGCACACATTGGTCACTAATGGCATTTCATAATGAACCATTTAAAATCAATAGTTCTAGAAAATAATACTTATTTTATGTTTTTTATCATTTGGTCCGATAAATCAAAATCCACTTTTAAGTATGGATTATACTTAAAAGTATGGAGCTCATCCTGTAGCTCAGGCTGGCCTGGAACTCATTTCATAGCCAAGACTGGCCTTGAATTCTCAATAAGCCTGCTTCAAACTCCCAAATACCTGTGATTACAGGTGTACACCCGTTTTTTGTCAATATCTCCATTTTCACATTGCTTATAAAATGTATATATTTGAGATTGAAAAATTCTTTTAAGATGAGCTAAGACTAAAACCAAAACTTCTCATTTTGCCTGGTCAGTCACAAAAAGTTTGTTCAATATCTAAATCAATTTCTCTAAAATTTTTATATTAAACTTTTGAAATCTAAATTTACAATCTAAAGCTATCATTGGAATTTATCTCTTTATTGTATATTTGGTTTAAATAGATGTTAATGGGATCCCAAACCCTTAAATTACTTACAAAAGCAGTGTAATTTTTACTTTCCTGGACGGGGCTTTTAATAAAATCTTGAATGGGCTGTGAGCCCAAAAAATATAAAAACAATGAACTTGAATGTGGGCTGTACTGTGAATCATAATCATACATATGACGTAATAGTTGTGAAGTTGATTTAAGAACCTTGAAAAGAATATTAAAAGGAAAATATGATGACAACTGGAAAATCTTTGTATTTTTAGTTTTGCACTTGAACCTTGAAGGAGTTAGAGTAGATAAGACATTACTGATAGAAGAGAGATCAAAGGGGTGTATTATATCCCACGAAAGACATATCTTAGTCATTTAACCTGTTTTCACATGCCTGACTTTTATTTTTCCCTAAAATAGAAACCAAAAAGAAGTATGTTGTTTTGCATTAAATGGTTATTACTTACTATAACATGACTAAATTTTGTTTGGCATTTTGGGAAATCATGTTTTTCCAAGTAGTTGATAGAATGAGTATTACTTACATAATACAGACTTACATAGCTATATTAGCCACATAATATACACCCTGCTTTAAAAAAAAAAAAAACTTTGGGGAACATTACATGCATATTTCCAAAATGTACTGTACCTTACCATTAGAAAAAATAAAATAAACTTTTAAAAATAATTGCATTACAACTATGATTTGTATATTTAATTAAGAACGATTTTAATTACACAAGTGAAGGTGATACTGTATGTTGAAACTATTGAGATTTTTTTTAGTAGATAGCAAGGTATAATAATGGTAAAATATAGGTAATAGGTAAAATACCTATTACAGACCATATTCTTTTTCCTTTCAAGCCAAAACTGCTATTTAATATTGATTTTACTCCACTAATTTGTTAGCAAAGTATAAACAAACAAAGAGAACTAATTTTTGTTCCTGGAATTCTGTTTTAGTAGAGGCAGTTTCTATATCAGAACCTACTAACTGATGTATAAGACTCTTAAGAGAATAGAACTTTTATTTGATACTGTATTGTAAAAATTACTTCTAAGGAAGTTTGTTTTATTGTAGGAGAGGAGAATGGACAGTCTGTAGGAGAAATGGTTTCATGTGGTACAGTGAAAATTTTATGATCAGTCATATTTATTCTCTAAAAACTTTTTACCCAAGTATATAGTTCAAGATAGTATTAAAGTATCTGGCAAGCGCAAAGCCCTCAGTTCAAACCCTAGTACTGACAAAGGAGGGAAAAATCTAAACTATCTGCAGTATTAATTCACATAGTCATATGAAGTTTTGAATCATTTAGCAAAAGGTCGCTATGTTTGAATAGCTTTTTATTGTCAGTATAGACAATACAACTTTATAACAATTTTGAATGAAGAATGAATAATTATCAAGACTGAAGTGAACGAGGTACCAGTTATAATTCATAGGAAGTTGTTGTAAATTTCTAAAATGTAATGACCTAGTCAGTTGCAGTTATTCAGTCACTAATACGAAATATAAGTACCAAAACCAATTCTTATTTACCCTGCAGTGACCTTAATATTGGAAAATTTTAACTTGATAGCCAGTTAATGAAATTGAAACTTATTACACATACATATAAAATTAGGAAAATATAAAATTGGAACAAAAATTGACATTTTAAAAAGCTAGTTTGACAAATTTCATAAGTTTATGAATTAGCACTATCAGATTACATCACACTGGGCATGAGGATACACACCGGTAATTCTAGCACTCAGGAGGACATGGCAGAAGGATGGCTACATAGTGAGATCAACCAGAGAGAGAGAGAGAGAGAGAGAGAGAGAGAGAGAGAAGGAAGAAAGAGGAGAACATGGATAATTTATGATTATACAGAATTTCTGTAAGAAAGTTTATTACAAAATCTCTTATTTTTGAAACTTTAGTGTTTGGATTATTGGCTTCTTAAAGTGGTTGCAATTTTAGAGGATGGTGTGGAACTGTAGAGAAAATATTTCATGTTTCTCTAAGTTAGAGGTTTCTAAGCAAATTTTACCAAAATTTGGGACCTGTGCTGAAAGAGAAACCTTTGTAGTTAAATTATATCTGAATAAATAGTGAGAAACCATCAGAATGTATGAGTTTACCAGGTCTGCATTAAAAAATACTAAGACTATGTGACTTAAAACAGTGGGAATTTTTTTTTATAGTTCTGATTGCTAAAAATCCTAGACCAAGGTGTTAGCACTGGGTTTCTTCTGAGACCTTGTCCTTAGTTTGGAGATGGTCACTGTCTCACTGTGTCCTCCCACATCCCTCCCTCTGTGTGTGCTCACCCCTGGTTTCTTTTCCTCTTATAAGAACACCAGTTCTTTCAGATTAGGGCCACACCCGTATAACCCCTCTTAATTTTTAATTACCTCCTTAAAGACACTATCTTCAAATAAAGTGATATTAGGGTCTAAAATTTCAACATAAGACTTTTTGAGAGGACACACTTAAGTCCGTAACAGAGACATTTCTCTGATATGAACTGTTTTTATTTTTGGCAGTACTGGAGTTTGAACTCAGGGCCTCTGCTTGCTAGGTAGGCACTCTACCACTTGAGCTGCTCTGCCAGCCCTGATAAGAACATTTTTTTCTTTTTTTGATGACTTTATTAGCATATAATAAATAGTTGTACAGGGAGATACATTGTGATATTTACATATATGTTTAAAATGTATCTTAGTTGGATTTACCCCCTCCATCATTCTCCCTCTTTCCCCTACCTTCTTAGAACAATTTCAACAGGTTTCAATCTTCTGTTTTCATATATGGATACAAACACATCCATATTCGCCCTCATTCACCCTGTCCTTATGCCCTCTCCACTCCCACTGGTACCCTCCTTTGGAAAAGTCCTATTTTACCCTTTTGTCCTTCATTTTTTTAAAAGTGTATATTGAAAGTCCAAGGGGGTTTTGCCTTTGTACTGCTTTAATCAAATTAACACCTTCCCCCTGTTACTTACTTTTTCTCTATCACCATGCTCCCTTAATATTCAGTGGCTTACATTATAGTATGTTCTGTTATATTCATATATTGATGCCTTATTTTAATATTTTTCATTCTCTAACATTTTCTTTCTCTCTCCTACTTCCTGTAGCTCCCTCAGACAGACTCATAATTCAGTTTTTTTCTCTCTGCTAAATATATATATATATATACACATACATACACATATACATATTTCTACATA